GTAATCTAGGAGTCATTTTGCTAGCAACCTCAACTCCCTGGAATGCATTCAAGAGTAAGGAAATGAGGGAAGAAGTTACAGTGTGAGCAAAATGCATTCCACCAAGCTCTTGAACTAGAGTGCAAGCATTTGACTTGGAGGACGCTTCTTGGACTTTCATTTTTACTCTTGCTTTAAACTCAATTTCAACAAGTTTCCTTTGTCTGCTTTCCAGAGTCAGAAAAAATTGCTGGAGACAGATACACTGATAGTAACAAAATGAAACAAGTGATAGCAGATTGAAAAAAAAAATGGAGAAACTACCATAAGCAGACACAATAACTCCAGAACTCAGGGCACCTACCACAGGAGTGAATAGCCCGACACACCTCAGAGTCCTAAAGCATTGCTCTCTGGCTCTTTACACAGGCAATTTACTCATAATGATCCTCAATTCATGAGCTAGATATAATATTTTGATTGTCTGTACAATAAAGGTTTACTTTCAACTCAAGATGGAAAAATTGAAACTTAAAAAACAGTCAGAATAATTATCCCAATCATAAAAACATGTTCACCTTACAAAAGTGATCATTACCAGAGTCCCATTCAATCAAAAAGAGACACTTAGACCTTTGAATAAAAAGCACCTCTGGTGTATTAACAATGTAGTATGAGTTCCAAAAACAAAATCAGTCTATGTTAGACAATTTCACAAAATAAGGCACATTGAGTATATCAGTTGCCTATATACTGAGGGATCATTCAGTATCTCTTACGAAAATTTCTACGATAGTTTAACCTAAGCGGAAATAAAACTCACCCATATAAACTGAAGTTGTTAGATTGTACGCAGAGATATAGAAATAGATACAGACTCTAAGAAAACACTGAAAATTCGTTCTAATTTAGTTTACTATTAAAATACTTACTAAAATATGTTTAAATATGGATACACATACAATTCCATATCCAGCCTAGAAACTGAATAGTCCAAATCATGATAATGAGCTTCTCAATAATGGATAATATTTCACTTATTTTCTACCATGCCTGGAGAATTTTAGGACCATTTCATTTAGATAATGTCTTCATTTTTATCGAGCATTACTTGTGTATATAAAGTCATAAGTTAAAAATTGTACCTGATATTGTGTATGAGGAAATGTATCAGTTAACTTTTGGAGCCAAATTTATTTTACTTCGTCTTATCTCTGTGAATATAACAGAACCTTCATAAGCACCCTTTGCTGTCGGGCATTTCTTGCTATTGGAACTTTTGTGTATATAAAGTGTTACTCTATTATAATGGCTTAAATTTTACATACTGACACAGATTCAAAATAATGTATCTGATAAAGCTTAGTGGTGGCTTTCAAAACTCTCACTATCTGGGGCCCACAGAGTGGCACTTTGGTTAAGAGCTGGCTTGGGACACCAGAGGGCCCCGGCTTGGATCCCCCATATGAGGGCCAGAGACACTGCCCTCTACAGCTAAGATGCTGAACAACAGCTCAAGCTGAAGCTGGGCTGCTGTGAATTGCTGGCGACGGCGTAGGCTGCAGCCCCTGCTGCAGTGGGTTGCCATGGGCTACCGAGCGTGGCCAGTAGCCGCAGTGAGAGGCCATCCAGAAGCCGGCAACTGATCTGCCTCGCCCAGGAAGAGCGCAATGATGGTGCCAACTTGGGCCAGTGAAGCAACGTCCTCCACAACTAGACTGAAGAACAAAAGGACAGCAACTTGTCTGTTCCCCTTCCCCCAATTCCCCAGCACTGTTCCCATCCCCCAATTCCCCAATTAAAAAGATCTTTAAAAAAAAAACTCTCACCATCTGGGCAGAACTTTTCAATGTTTTCTTCCTCCTTGTTAGGGCAAGAAATGGGGCAGATAGCATCAATTTAGCAAGCATGAAGAAAGGCTTCCCTTGACTATTGAAACAAACCATTCAAAGTGAATGGGAGGAAAACATAATCACTCTTAAATAGACTATGTGATTTACTTAGATAATTAAACAGCTACATGGTAGCGTAAATAGTATTACTAATTCTGAATTCTGCCAACACTCTCTCATTCTCCCTTCTACATCCTATACCCAGCATCTCTGGCATTTGTGAATTACTGTTTTTATTTTTCTCTTTTTCCCACTATTCCATCCTCCATTTTTTTGTGTTCACTATTTCCTTTTTTGTGTGTGTGTGTGGGGGGCAGAGGGGTCAATCCAAAGTATAATTTTATAACAAAAGGAATGTTAACTACATTCCAGGAAAAGCACCTTACAAAAATCTTACAGCCTTTCCTAGAGGAATCCACTATCACTCTTCATTTGTTGAAGGATTCTTTCATGAATGATGGCAACTGGTAATGTCATAAGCAAAACTCTCTGTTCAGGTACTGAGTGGCTCATTCAACCCTTACGCAATCATTTCCAGACCTGCTGATTCTTTCTTCTCAGAAGAGGAAGCTTATATTGACCATCACACAGGGATGACTGAAATATCTTTATCCAACTTGCCCAGGCTGGGAGGAATTTTCTTGCAAAACTTTATGATACATTGTAACCTGAGACGTCAAGAATAATGTTCAACAAAACATGTCACATAATGCTTGTGTGTGGTTTAAACTATTTTTGACCTTGTTCTAGTGTTGTCCCTGTTGATAGTGAGATTATTCATGGCAAGTGTCGTCTTACACATAGTCCTAGGAGACCAGAAGAACAGTTTCAGTCCCCCGTTCACAGAGGTCCAGCAATGGCCAGGGACCCAGGTTAACCATTGGTCTAGGCCTCCTGTGATCTGTGTGGATGCAGACCCAACAATGTTCACACACTCAGTGGGAGGTATACTCAGAAGGGGTTATCTTGGAGGATTCAGGGATCAGTGGGTTTCCATAGGGAATGAACAGTTCCTGGCATATGGCAGGTAGTCAATAAATACTTATTGAATAGAGTAATTGAATGAATGACAATAAGGGGGGGGGAATGAATGGTTGATGGGGAAAGTGTGAAAGCAAGAAAAAGCAAGCAGTGTCAGCGACTGTAAAAGTGAGAGCCTGTCAGAAAAAGACAGTTAAAAGGTTTTAAAGTGAACCAAGGACTTGGTAGGGAAAAAAAAGCAACGATGACAAAAATAATGCTGAATCAGAAAACAGCCTGTGCTAATGTTTGCTAACAGGCTGCGTGCCTGGGAAGTGAACAGTAAGCTCGATGAGATCAGTTCATTGTGATAATGAAAATAATAATATGACTATGAGTTCTTGCTCTGTGCCAGGTATTGTGCTAAGTGTGCTACACAATTTTTTTTAATCCTCACAACTCTAAAAGGCAGCTACTGTTTATTATCCCCATTTTACAACACAGGACACTGAGGCTTAGGAACTAGAACATGTCCCAATCACATCGGTCGGTAGTAGGTGGTGGAACCAAGACGACAACTCAAGCCTGTTGAAGTTCAAAGACCATGATCTTAATTGCTGTGTTACACTGCCTCCTCTACAGCATAGTACCTGGTCTGTAGAAGGCACTTGGTAATATTTGTGGACTGGATGGAGTAATGTGGGATTATGACACTGCTGTGAAATTGAGCAAATTCTTAACCACCACACTCATTTTTAGGAATTTATGCATGGCCTTACATTGTTTTAGAAGCTAATATGTGGATCATTAAAGCACTCCATTCTTAATGTTGGTACATTATTTTTGCATAGTATCATTCCCTCCAAGCTAGGGTGACATCATATTACTAGTATCACCGTTTTTCAACCATCAATAACATGCTTTATATAGAACATATATTTAGATCCAAGAACTTTGTAAATCTAATTAGTGAGGTCTACATCCTTCTTTTGCATCTCTTTTGCATGTTGAATCATCTCTGAATCTAATGTTCCTTTTCATCTATAATTGCTGAGACATTTACATTATACATTTTATTGACTCTCAGAGTTAGAAAGGGCTTTAGGTATACATGTCCAATTATTTCATTTTACAAATAACAAGAAGGAAAGCCTTGAGATGTGAAATAAGAATTTCAACATAAGTTCTTTCATTGAGTACTTGTTCTGTGCCAGCCTCTATCTATCTATCCTTATTTAGTTTAGTTGGTAGATACTATTACCAACTCCATTTTGCAGTGAAGGAAACTGGGACACGGTGATTTGCTTATATGACTAGTAAATAGTAGAGTCAGGATTTGAATCCAGGTCATTGCGTTCCAAGCCTGAGCTTTTAGCCACTATCCTGCATTATGTTCCTAAGGTCTCTTAGCTCATCAGAGGCAAAGCTGAGACTGGAACTCAAGTCTGTTGCATCCCAGACCAGTCTTAGCTACACTACACCACTTTATTTTCCTTAATATTTTTCAGTGCAGTGACACTTCTTAAACCATTTTGATCAACTGAGAACAATGATTTGCCAAATCTACTTTCTTCAATGCTACTCCTGATTGTATTGCTTCTTTCAGAGCAGAATGATTTCAGTGGCTCCCAGAGTATGGCACAGAGGAGCATAGACTCTCCAGACTCAAGTGAAAGAGGAAATGAACACATCGCTCCTAGTGAGCCATCCTTAGAGTAAGAAGCAACACTCACGTAGATAATGGACAGAACTCCATTGTAGTTTTTGGTTGGAACGTTGAGGATGATCTTTAGCTGTGAGACCAGCACTTGGAAGGCAGCAGCTGTTGTGAATCCGCCAATCAAGGGATCTGCCAAGTACCTCACGATGAATCCAATCTGCAAACCTCCAAATACCAACTAGGACAAGAAGAAGGAAGGAAAAGTGAAATGTTTGCCTGAGAGAAGAACCTAGTCTCATGAGCTATTAACAAATTAAACTGAACATGAATTTAAACTCTGGTAGCCTGCCTATAACACAAAATAATCATAGGAAACAAATCGGAATTTCTTAATGCCCTACCTCTCCACTCCATCACTCTAAATTTGAAAACCATGTATAATATGAACCTTGAAGTATTTCTAAATATGTAATAAAAAAAGCAAACAATCATGTAGCTTATTTCTGTGACCTTTTGTAAAGATAACAAGAAAGCAGTTATCATGACAATTGGACTGATGACTATTGGACTAAAAATTAAAAACGTTTAGCATTAACGTCACTATGTTATATTATCTGTACCAATAGAAATGCCTTCCTTCTATTGATTTAATTGTTTCCCTTCCCCTTCTCATAAATACCCATTGCCTTTGTCTCCTAATGGGAACATTATCTGGGCTTCCTCTGCATGAATCAATGCTTCCCGAATAGCTATTCTTATTGATCTCAATAAATGACTATTGCCTCTCACTTTGAAAGGCCTTTTATTTTTAGGTTGGCACCAGCTGGTTAGTTAAAATAAAAATCATGCTGGGCCGGCTGAGTGGCTCAGTTGGTTAAGAGCTCGCTCAAAAGTTTGAGCTCTGAGCAACAGCGGTTGGAGTCCTGGCCTAAGCTGAGCAGCTGCTGAGCTGCCAACAGGTGGCAGGATGGCTCAGCTAAAAAAAAAAAAAAATCATGCCAATCTATATTTTACTTGTAAGCCCATTACCTGTATGATTCCAACCAAAAGAGTAAGGGTGCTCGCAATAATTACTCTTTCTCCATCTCTCACCACACTGTCAATCATGGTAGCATTTGGTGCAGTTCCATTACTGCTGGGTATGAGAAAGTTTTCATCTGGGGCCAGGGTCAGAACAACAGATCCCACCATCAAACTGACCACTGGGAAAGGTCCTGGAGAAAAAAAGTCTCTATCAATTAATAATTATTAACCACAAATGTTTAGGCACAATACATATTTACATAGGATTACAAAGATGTAGGAGATAATTAGCTCTGATTGGGAAGATATTGTTTGTTCACAAAAGAAGCTAAAAAGCAAATGTTTCAAGGCATTCATGACCCAGAAATGAGCAAGAGAGACATGTAGGAAGGTAATCATAATACAGCATTCAAGATGCTTGTAAGTACACAGAAAGGGTGTCTAACCTATCTTTGTGTAATCTTCATGGGTGTGGGGGCCGGGGCCAAGTTGTCAGGACAGGTTTCCTGGCAGAGGTGGCGTATAAACTGGGTCCTTACTTGTTCCATCTTATTTTTATTCCGTAGAAGCTCATTTCCAATGCCTTAATCTCTGTGGAGCTGAGTACCTTGATCAATATCGCAGGTTTCAAATTAGGATAAAGAAACATCAAAGGGAGTGTATAGTTTCTCTTTTTCTCTTTCCAACACAAATTATTTTTTCATATTAAATGCCAGTCTGTAAGAGTCTATGTGTAAAAAGTACTCCTTTTCTCCCAGTGATTGATCTATTTACTACTGGTATGTTTATCCATGATGACGATGATCCTGTTCTTTAATCATGGAAGGCTTTAACAATTGGGAGGGCTCAGTACCAAAGTTCAGTAAACTGGAATGTCTAAATGTAGAGAATACTAGAAAGAAAAAAATGAACTTCTACAATATGTTCCTCACCTCATCAAGCATTTGATGCTGATCAGTTCTCCCAGGTGAGGAAGTTCTTTCAATCAATAAAAACTCTTCCTGACCTCCTTCCACAAACAAGGCAACACGTCAGCTACTGGGGGAAATACAACTAAGGACGAGGATATGGGTTGGGGATAGAGTGGACAGTTGTGCTTTTTCAAGAAGATTGTCCAGGTAGGCATGTCTAGTCAGCAGATGGATGTAGGCACAAAATTATCTCAAGTATAAATGTCAATGTTGCAAAATAGCATTTAAAACATGTATTTACCAGCACATTCTAGCAAAAGAGAATTCAAATTTTAGGAGCAGCAGGAAATAAATCTATTTTGAGAAGGAAAGCCAAGCTTAGTCTCTAAGTTGTTTTGGCATGATTTTGCCAGTCTTCCAATCTTAGTATGCTCTTTAATGAAATAATGAATATGTATTTGATGAACATAACTTAGTAAATACTGAGTTAATCTGGTAAAACAGTAGGTTTAAAGACCTCTTGAAGTTTTCCTTGTCATATTTTGTTTTGAAAGAGAACACTTTCTAAATATGAAGTCAGTTATTACATTTTTAATGAAACCATGCTAAAATTTGAAGGTAGCTATAATTTTAACAATTTTTCAATTTCTCCACTTCATGAAAAAAAGCATCAAATATAAAGCTAACTAAAGGCATAGTATTTTGAAAACTAAGAACCATTTTTGCATCTTTGAACAGAAAAAGCACTGAAGCCCTGGAAAGATCCCTGGAAAATGTTAACAAAGATGTAAGCATAATACACATAATATGGCCACAGCATATTAAACATGAATGATACAATTGTAGTAAATGCTTATAATTACCAACTGAGATGTGTCTTGATGTTCCAAAGATAAAGTATGTCAGGATAGGGAAAAAAGCAGAGTAGAGACCATATTCAACAGGAACCGCAGCTAGTAGTGCGTACGCCATTCCTAAAAGTATATCCAAAATGACTGAATTTGCAAACAAAAGTTATGGTATGTTTCTACTGTACAAAGAAAGGTCTTTTCACAATATCCTCAATTTGTGGCTTGTCCTGAGTGGTTTCCTTATTTGGCATACAGTCTGAGGATATGCCAGAATGCAGAGCATAATTCAGATTTGCTGGGATAATGATTGAATCTACAGGCATTGCCTGCTCTAAATGAATTGATTTAACTGATCAGTAATTCAATCATTCACTGATCACACAAGTGGAAAAAAATCAGTTGTTGATTAAAAATTTCATCAATGCAGCTTTGCATGTAAGCAGTTTCATCTGAATTCAGTGTTTCTCTGTGTCCTGAGGGACACATTCATTGTTGCACTGTCTTTTCTCATTCCTTGTTGGAGAACAGAAATTAGATCCAAACAAGAAGAAATATGACAATTGGACATAAAGGTATGCAGGACAACTCCACGGGCTTTCCACTAGATCAATACATATCAATACCCAACTAACTAGGCAAAAGATTTCCAAGATGCTCATTGAAATATGGTATAAAGCCAGTTTAGAATAGTAATAACCACCTACGTTGGGACATTTTACCAGAGATTAAAATAAGGGTATGGATTCAAAAGGAGGGGGGAGCAGAATAGAAAAAACTTATGTGTAGTCCAGCCTAAAATGTTTCCTTCACTTTCCCTTAAGCCAGTTTCAATCTGCAGGTCAAGACCATGTATGGGATGTAAAGTGATTTAATGGACTGCAACTATCATTTAAAAATATATATAAGCAGAATAGAATAGGACAGAATAGAAAATACCGGAATATATTACTTGTAGTGAGGGTAAATATTATTTCACAAAACTTGACTGTGTACTGATTAAGAAATACATATTTCTTTCTTACTGTGAGGTGTGGTTAATAAAGTTGAGAAGCCACTGCTTAGGCAAATAGGGCTCTAGTTGGAGCCATAGAGCTAGAAAAGCAACATGATTTCCCAGGAAGAGAACTCTAAGGGAGAAGCAGAGGAAAGAGGCACTTTTCTCCACTAAGGGGCTCTAGAGGAAAGATGAGGCCTTGAAGGGTGAGGAAGCATTTGGTGCGCCCATGGGAGACTGGGGGAGTTTATGAACTGCTGCTGGAGACTGCTTCTCAAACACTTGAGAGCCAATACACCAACACCTTACCTTGCAGTGTACCCACTAGCCCAGTGCTAACTCCTGAAATGATGTCACTAAGCAGCCATTCCTTGATTCGGTATTTGGGGAGCCAGTCCAAGATGGGTAGGATACTCTTCAGCACACCAAGGGCTCTCTTTCTTGAGCAACTGTCAAAAGGCAAGAAAACTGGGTTTCCAATCTAATCTCGAAAGAAATCACAAAGAATGAGAATTTCACGGACAGTACTAACACTGAAGGGGTTACCATACTTTTGCCAAGAACTCTATCTACTCTTTTAAATACACTGTGCTAGAAAACACAGGATTAAGTGTGTTCCCGCCCTTCTTAATCCTCTGAGAAAATATCCCTACACAAGAACCCATTTTCTGTCCAGCAATACATTGACCAATGTGGAGTCTCTAAATGGAGATTAATTTTCAGACTTCTGCCACCAGGCGCCTTCTTCTACTTCTCTTTTCCTTTTAAGAAAAATAAACATGCTCTGTATATTTTGGCAATCCAAGCTTGGAGCCAGTTTTTATAAAACTCAACATGATGAATGTACACCTTGTTGTACCTTGCTACTTAGTATTTTTTTAAAATCCATCAACCAGTAAATGAGAAAAATATTAACAGTGGGTGAACACTCTTTGACTCCTGATTCAAATAAATTATTTTTAAAATGATGTCTATGAGACAATTGGAAATTTTAAAGCTGACAACTTTTGATACTAAAGAATTATTTTATTTTTAAGTGTGACAATGGAATTGTGACAATATTTTAAAAAATGGTTCCTATAAATATATGTTGAGTAGATGGTCATTGACGCTGGTTGATAGGCAAAAACATGGACCGAGGGTTCATTATACTACTATGTCTACTTTTCTACGGTATTTGAAATGTCCTATAATAAAAGTCTTTTAAAAATAAAGAAAATCTGGCTGTTCTCGGTTCTCTAGTTCTCTTTGTGATAGCTAATTACAGGTGGCCCGTTTGGGTTTAGAGACTGGTGGAGGTTCTCCTGGCCCCACTGCCTGATACGAAGGACTTGGAGCACACCGCTCTCTCCTGTGTTCTGGCTGTCATGCCCTGTCTCTGAGTGGCATCCTGCCTAAACAAGCTTGGGGCTTTCAAGGACTCCTGGTCAGGTGATGGGTTTACCCATCATCTCTTTTTAATCGAGCCTCTTTCTTTCGCACTCTCTTCAGCCTGGCCTTCACCAGAAGGCAGTCGGACCCGCTGGACCCCATGGCTCACTCTATGTGTCTCCAAGAGAAAAGAGACGGGGTCACCGGAACACACTCTCCCCAAAGATAAATTCTGAGACTAGAGTCAACTTCGGGCGGAGAATGATGGAGCCACCCTCCCACCAGAAAGGAAGTGCGGCGGCTGGATGAGCCTGAGTCCGGCTTCTGGTGGTAGAAACCCAGGTGTCCCCCACGGCGCGGGCTGACGCCGGCCGCTACCTGCAGCTCGTGGCCAGTCGCTCCCGCAGCGTCCTGCGCTCCTGCAGGCGCCGCTCGTACTGCTGCTGGAAGGCGAGCTCGCTGTAGACCCGCCGAGACACCAGGTAGCTGCCGCTGTACTCGCGGAGCTGTGGCATCTCCGACCTACTGCCCGGCGCTTCCATAATCTTCGAGGAGGACGACGACGAGAAGGGAGGCGAGAAAGCGAGGAAGGAGAAGAGACCGTGAAGAAGGGACAGGGAGTGGCAATCGCCGGTTAGCCGCCTCCCGGCCCCACCTGTTGCAGCGATCCGGGAGAGCCCAGTCCGCGTGAGGCCGCCTTGGGCACTCGGGACCGGCCGCCCCGGGGCGCGCACCGCCACCAGCAGCGGGGCACCTGAGGCCCTCCGGGTCCCGTAGCCTGTGTCTGCTTCTCGGGGCCCCCCGA